AGGAGAAGATCAGATGAAAAAATTCTAGACATTTGGTTTCTATTTCTTTAAAAGTCCTTCATAAAATATAGAATTCTACTGGCTTGGCTCGCAGAATTATACAAAAAGCATTTTTAGCTCCAGCTTTGAAAAGAGTCTCTTTTGCAGTTTGTTCAAATCCTTGACAAAGCTTCTTAATTGTTAATGTTCTCTGTTTCCTACTAGTCACTGTTTCACCACCCACAGGTCTGAGTTTGAACTCAAACAGCTCAAGTGTAACAAATAGCAGCATCCTTGGACAGAGAAAAAAAGGGGGGTTGGAATTTATATTGGGTTTGAATTTCAAACCGGGTGCCTAGTTCTGTTAGATCGAGTTCGGCTTGCCAGCTCTTCCTAGGTGTCTTACCTGGCAGACTGATGGCCCTATTTCCTTTTCCTGCTCGAACACATCATCCTGTCCAACACAGGGATGTCCGTGACACATCGCACTTCCGGAGTGACAGAGTTGCTTTGTCAGAGTCTCTCTAAAAATCAGGTACACAAGATTTAAAGTGTGCTGAAAGTACAAAGGGACAAACAAGGTGTAACATCCCCTCCGTTTGATTCTTTTGGATCAGATTTAACGATACGATAAAGTCGAGTGAGTATGCTGCCTCGGTCAAAACGACCAAAGTAAATCTAGCGGGATCAATTCCATTACACATCTCCGAGTCATTGCACACTAGAGACTCCGGCAATCAATTCTTAATCAAGACATCAAAGCAACCACACTACTGTTCTTCCCATATACTGCCTTTCTGAGATGCTGACAAGAAAAAGAGTGTTAACACAATGACAAGATGATTGTAACTATGAATCACGGTGCAAAATTTGACTTATGTGTACTTTCAAAAACGTCTCTCGATCAGCTCGCTTTGACAGTCACACTGTGACTTGTGAGTTGTGAATTTGCCTTTCTCGGATCAAGAAAGGTGAGATTTGCCTCATGTGCTGTTCTTCTCACTTCACTGTTACTCAAGAGACGTCCGGGTTGTATTGAGAGTATCGAAAGTCCCTCAGAGTCACGGGATGATGACTTTGCCCCAACATGCCGAGGGCTGCAACATGTCTCGTCTGCCCGGTCTGATCTCGTCGCTCCCCGCTGTGACAGAACGGCCCGTAATTAATCTCTGGAGCGGGAACAATGAGACTGCAAATATCAAGGTTCAGATTTGTAGGGGTTAAGGCAGTTTGGCACAAAGGAGAGCTGGGCCCGAATCGCTCTAGTGACATTTCTAACACGATGAGTTAAAAAACAAAGAGAGAAAGTGGTTGAATGTATCATGAACTTGGACGAAACTGAGGACCAAAACATTTAGTCAGCTCTTCATTATGCTGATCTAACAAATTGACACTACAGTAAAAAAAGACTTAATGATAGCCAGGCTTAGTGTGTTGCAGAAAAAGTTAAATGTTTCTTAACCTTTGGTCGCATAATGGAGCATCACGTTTGTCTTGGCGATGTATTAATGTAAAAACTGATGGTTTGTCTTATCTGAATGTAAAGCAAGAGTCAAAATATTGAATCATTATACCTAGCAGTGTACTGTAAATGCAGCCACTTATGTATGGAAGCCTGTTTCCAAGTAAAAACTAAATTAATAATGTTATCGCGACTCTTTATTTCACAATTCTGACTTTATTTCTCACAATTCCAAGTTTATATCTCACACAATTTTGAGTCGACATCTCGCAATTTGACTTTTTTTTTCTCAGAATCATGAGTTTATAACAAAATTCTGACTTAATTTCTAGCAATTCCATATTTATATCTTGCAATATTGACTTAACATCTCGCAATTACTATTTTCTCAGAATTGTGAGTTTGAATACAAATCCCACAATTCAGAATTTTTTCTCAAAACTACAAGTTTATAACACAATTCTGACTTTATTTATAGCCATTCTGAATTAAAATCTCGCAATTTTGAGTTTTCATCTTGCAATTCTGCCCCTTTTTTTTTAGAATTCCAAGTTTACATCTTGCAATTTTGAATTAACGTTTCACAAATCTGACATTTTTTCTCAGAATCACAAAAGTCTGACTTAATTTCTAGCAGTTCCATGTTTATATCTTGCAGTTTTGAGTTATCTCAGCATTCTGACTTTTTTCTCAGAATTGCGAGTTTATAACACCTCTGACTTTATTTCTAGCAATTCTGAGTTAAAATCTCGCAATTTTGAGTTTTCATCTTGCAATTGATTTTTGTTTTGTCAGAACTCCAAGGTAACATCTTGCAATTTTGGGTTAACATGTCACAATTCTTACATTTTTCTCAGGCTCAGAAGTTTACGACACAAAATTATGACTTTATTTCTAGCTATTCTGTGTTTATATCTTGCAATTTGAAGTTAACATCTCACAATTTATATAATAATATATTTATCACCCTAAATCCTAGTACATCCCTACAACTTACAATTTATTCTTTTTTTGTGGTTTATTTTTATGCATGTGTATTTTATTCACAAGCACGGCTAACGCTAATATAATGAGCATTAGAATGAATTTTGTTCAAAATAGTTTCTTTAACTATTTAATGCTCCTATAACTTTTATTTCTGGTCGGCGTTACAGAGCACCGAATACCAGGACAGCCAGGCACAAGAACAGTTTCTTTCCCCAGGCAATCTGCCTCATGAACAGTTAATGTTCTCCCATTGTGCAATTAAAGTATGTGCAATAACCTTATACCTATTTATCACCCTAAACCCTAGTACATCCCTACAACTTATTTTATTTTATTCTATTCCCATTCCATCTATAGCACACCTGTACATACAATTTATTCTTTTTTTGTGGTTTATTTTTATGCATGTGTATTTTATTCACATCTTATATTTTTATTATCTGTGTGTTGTTGTTGTCTCCGTGTACTGGAAGCTTGTGACACTATAACAAATTCCTTGTATGTGCAAACATACTTGGCAATAAAGCTCTTTCTGATTCTGACTCTGATTCTGACAATTCTGGCTTTTTTTTTCCTGATTCTGAGTTTATATGTCTTTCAAGAGATGCCTAATTTCATGGACAAAAGGATCTGTCTGTATCACAAAATGCATATTTTGTTTAAGAAATGTTTTGGTGTATTCCATTTTGCATGAAGTCAGGAGTGTCTTCATATTAGTTTTTTGTAGTGGTTTCAAGAATAATGAAATTGTCACTGACATTGGTATTGACCTCTGACATTTTGTTCTTGCAACAACCCTACATATAAGTACTTGTTAAAACACAAAAAAAAGCTACTCTCTCTGTCACTAAAACAGCTAACCGACTGATGAACACTGTTTATGAAAATACATGGTGGCTGAAGAACCCTTAGCAAACGGTGGCTAAGGGAGGGGCAGTAATTATTCCCTCCACTGTCAAATCAGAAATGCACCCTGGCGTGCCGTAAACAGCAGCACCTGTGAGCTCAGGAACAGACCTGTTGTCTAAATGCTGTCAGCATCGCCTCTTTGACTCACCGCGAGCTGCTATTGTGCGAGACAGACAACAGTCACAAAAAAAACACCTGAGTTTTTCTATGCTGGATAAGCCTCTGGTTTCTTAATTCATATTCCACAGGTCAAAACTTCAAAAAAGAACATCTGTATTTGTCAAATCGATCACGTTTACTGAAAATCTCACATAGGAGGATAAATATCATAATATGGTTAGTCTTTTCCTGCAGGTCAGTGCTGTCTGTCTGACAGCTCTTCACTCAGGTTATTAAGAATCACAACAAGTACAAAAACATCCACAATACCAGAGTTAAAAAATAAGTAACATCCTGGTCCAGGTCTTGTGTGTTCCACATAAAGCGTATTTTAACACATACTCAGCAAATAGACTATTAACGCAAGACTAAAGAGCATTAGCTAAACACATGCAATGAGTCTGCCTGTTTTTTTTTTACAGTCAAAGACTGAGCATAATGAAATCGAAAGATTCTCAATGTGCAACACAACAGGAAAAATGTCACAAAACACTTGCACTGACACATAAGGACAAACTTTCATTGCCATTGCCTCTTAACTGCATAATGCTTTCAGACTAATATTGTATGTTGTGAATATATAAATATAGGCCTCTATATTTCCAGATGGCATTAGAAGTGCTGAAGCTCCATACTTCATTTCCAAGGAAATAATGTTGATTATGCTTTTAACACTGAATGCAAACAAGTTCTATTCTGGGTTGGCAGGTACTAATAAAGATATGTGAGAAAAGTGTTTGAAAAAAGAAAGTGAACTAACTAAAAAAAAAAAAAAAAAAAGACATTCAAATTCCATTTTTAGGCCTGGTTGCTCATCTAAAAATCGCGATTTCAAATAAAGTGAGACAAATTCAATTAAATCTCCCCCACAAATATTTTGTATAAGATACAAGTTAGTGGAATTATACAAAAATTCTGGGGATCTTTTTTGTTGAAGAACACATTTTGATTTGTCGTTTTCAAATACACACACATAGATAAACACATAAATAAATAATCATGATGTTTGTCCAGAAAAATGTGTGAACATCCTTAAAACATGATAAATGTAATTCAGATGCAAACTTTTTTTTTAATCAAGTTTATTTTTCTTCCACCGTTTTCCAAGTTTTAACAAAAAGTCTAACATATTTAGTGATATTGTGCCTTGTTTCTAAGGATGTTTAGATGAAGAACAAGACTTTTTTTTCTGTGTCGGATTGTAGCACAGGTTGCATGTAAACTACAGTAAGACACCTGTTTAGTTGCTGTTAATAAGTATGACAGACTCTTTACCATATGTCAGTGACTGTAATGAGCACATAAGAGCTGCATCCTAATACTCACGATCTGTGATATAATATCACAGCATCATTCATTCATGGGGTTCATTCAATGTTCTTCAAAATCAAAAGAACTAGAATCCCTTGAATCGTTAAAAGCGCCTCACAAATGCTGTGTAGTGTCTAGCCTAGGTATTGAGTTCAGTATGTTTTGAAACACAGCCACAAGAAGTCACACTTACCAGATTCAACACCGTTTCGACTATATCTCTATTGCTGACCTCGCCGACTTGAATGAGACCGGTGACGACTGCGAATTTCGTCTTGATATTCCGAATCGGAACCGAAGGGTTTATCACCCCGGCCGGTAGCACCACCGACCCGGAGCAAGACATCATCATCATCATGTCACCGGTACCGGAGCTCGCGGCAGCTCCGTGCTGCCTGTGGCCGGGAGGAGGTGCTCTGTCGCCCGGCGTGGCCACCGGCTGAACGCTCGCCATATCCAATCAGCCGCGGTGTTTAAAAACAGCGCTGTATCATCAAGAACAAGAGGTGTTTTGGTCAAATCAAGTTCGATGAGATATATACAGCCACGTTAAGGGGGGAAAAAATCTCCGACAGTGATTTAATATCCACCGGCTGTGCAGTAAGTGTCCAAACGCATGTGGAAGGTTCACAGTATAGGTCTACAGATGCTCCACACACTGTACTTCAGCTCTTGCTTCCCTCCCTGATTTGTGTTCAGTGATGTAGTATGTGGGTTTGCATTAATTACCCTGGGTGTACCGATCAAATGTTTCTCATGCTGGGAAAACGCCCTCTATGTGCAGTAGGCTACCGTAGGCTGCAGTGTGCGTCCTGTCTGCACCTTCATGGGTCGAACGGAAGATACAGATTAGTGCTGGGCGGTATACCGGTTCATACCGAATACCGGTTTTT